GGCCAAACTATCGCGTAGATTACCCACACGCACGCCTTGGATTCTAGGACCCCTAATCTGCCCGTTAACCCAACTGTTGCTGCTTGCATAACGCATATGATGGGTACTTGGCATTATATATATATATATAATAATATATAATAGAGGGAGGAAAGATTGAGAGGCTATATAGCAATTCCTCTACTCCAGCATACCATTTAACGGGGTTATGCATAATCACTCTATTCTTGGGGTGTCTCATGTCTCCTGCTCCTTGAAGTCCTGCATAAGCAGGATATATGCAAGACAAGATGCTCATTATCTCTAAATTATATTAGATTTATATGACATCACCTCTGCCCGGGTTACGTTCATCTTGTGGGGTGGAGGGGGGGGGGTCTTTAAGAATGTTTACGGGGTCTGTTGTCGATACTCGTCCGCCAATCACAACCATTATAGCTTGGATATTTGAATTTTCCTCGATGCTGATTGGTCTGAATTATATATATATATTGTGTGTGTCTTACGGGAAAAATGTTGATTGGTCATGGTTGAAAATTTGAATTTTTCTCGATGCTGATTGGTCATGACCTGTGTGTGTGTGTGTGTGTGTGTGTGTGTGTGTGTGTGTGTGTGTGTGTGTGTGTGTGTGTGTGTGTGTGTGTGTGTGTGTGTGTGTGTGTGTGCAGCCCGTTTTCGCGAGTGTTCCCAACGTCAAGAAACTGTTGTATTAAAGCGCCCTTATCCTAACCTACCACAAGACCCACGATCAGAAAACGCCCCCCCCCCTGTCAATTTTGCGAGCCGCTATGATTTATAGTACATCATATTTTGACGTTGGGAAATGTTTACATCAAAATACGAAAGTGTATCATGCGATTCACGTATAGACATGGTAAACTCCCTCTGCCTCTCTGAAGGTCGTACTGAATGTGGTATTGAACGCATTCTACCCGCTATCCCAGACTGTCTTAACTTGACAAGGTGCCCCGTCAAGGCAACCGACCCCCGTCAAGGCGCCCCCCCCACGTCAAGGCGCCCCCCCCCACGTCAAGGCGCCCCCCCCCCCCACGTCAAGGCGCCCCCCCCCCCCCCGTCAAGGCTCCCCCCGTCAAGTATGTTGGAGCGCCATTAACAGCGTCCCGAGACAGTAATACTGGAACGATCTGTGAAACAGACGTGGACACGCCAACGCCGTAACTCTGCCCGCCTCGCCCCCGGCCCATTTGCACGCGACGGCACGACGCCGCCTGACGTCACCCTACGAATAATTCGAGTGGAAACGCTCAGACAAACCAATAAAATGTCATGCCACCACGATGAAGGGAGGACCTGTCCAGAGCCAGGTCAGTCCACTACGGGCTCACCATAGCCCGTGCTACTTGGAACTTGTTGTTCCCAGTAACTGAATCTAAAACAACAACGGTGAAGAACCTGACCAGAACCTCTGGAAGGGGGCTTAAACATTGACGATAATCATGGTCTGGGAATTTTTTTTGTTCAAAGCTTCTCAACAGGAGGCCTGGTCGACGACCGGGCCGCGGGGACACTAAGCCCCGGAAGCACCTCAAGGAAGCACCTCAAGGTAGGTAACTCTATCAAATTAGCAAAATTTCGTTTTATAAACTAAATAATCTCTTTAATCCACAGAATCTGGACGGGTAATATGATAAATGTGTTCTGTGAATCAGGTCGTGCAGAGAGTGCAACTGCATTGATGATCTTGCAGATACACGGTGATATATAAGCCGGCGAGATGTTCTTGTGAGGAGCCGGAGTATCGATTGAGGCAGGCCGGATGACAGGCTTGATGGCAGGCCGGATGGCAGGCCGGTTGGCAAGTCGGATGGCAGGCTTCCCAGGCATGAGTAGTGTGTGTGTGTGTGTGTGTGTGTGTGTGTGTGTGTGTGTGTGTGTGTGTGTGTGTGTGTGGAAAAACATGAAAATATCACGGGTGATATGTTAAATTATATGTAAAATTTTGCCATCATTACTTTATTGCACAAGAAATAGCCAACAGACCCTTATAGGTCAACACCTTTAATAATAGAACTTACAATAATGAAAATAATAATGATAATATGCAAAAAATATATATAATCGAAGTAACTGTGATTAATAATTGACTGCCTGTGATTTTTAGTGCAACAGTCAAGACTTCACTGTTGACAACAGTCAAGACTCGTCACTGTTGACAACAGTCGAGACTCGTCAATAAACATCTCAAACACACAATTTCATTCCTGCGTCACATATATTAAGAACTATTTTTATGATAGCGTTCATTATAATTATTTCTTGGGAATCGTCTTTTCTATCTCTCAAGGTGACGGATATTTGTATCATATACTTGTGTATGATAACGAGTTGTGTATTTATCAACGAAATGTAGATGAGGGCCAAGGGAGAGTAGGATAGGAGAGGGCCAGGTGAGGATAGGAGAGGGCCAGGTGAGGATAGGAGAGGGCCAGGTGAGGATAGGAGAGTGCCAGGTGAGGATAGGGGAGGGCCAGGTGAGGATAGGAAGGGCCAGGTGAAGATAAGGAGGCGTGTCGTCTACGTCCTTAAAGTTGTAGACGAATTCGACTAAAGAATTCGACCGTCAGAATAGCTCAATTATAACGTACCAGGTGCGACAAAGAGTGGTGAAGGCGGGGCACCCAGA